AGTTCTAATTGAGAAATCGAATATATATGAGATTTCTTTTCCCCCATTTTTATACATGTATTAATTTCTAGCATTTTGTACTTTTGGAAAAAGATATCAACATACAGGAAAAGAAAATTAAACTTATGATTTGAAAAACATTTTGCTCTCCTACTCTCAACCTTTGTTTTTCTTTGTCCAGTGTCAGGTTTTTATACTTACATCTGTTTGTTGTATTAACTTGACAGTGATACCATTGGGCTGGTATTACAGATACTTTAAACAACATTTAATCTGACTGAGCAACAGCTGAAAAATACCAGCAACAGAGAAAACACTAACATGTAGCAAGATGATTGCTAATATTCCTTATTCTTTGGCTCTACTTTCATCATTCAGACCAAGCATTTGGTTTCTAGGAAACATATTGCAACTTCCAGCCATAGCTCCTCAGCAGATGTTACTTCCCAGATCAAGCAGGATTTCACATCAAATCTTGGCCAGAGCTTAGGAAAACTGAGGCTTCAACTCTGCTCTTTCCAAAAGACTTTAAAATGGCGTGGTCTTAGCAAGTTCTGCTGAATCTGTTTATTTGTAAACATGGTGACCCACCCCAGATCAGGTAATTATGAAAGCCAACACTCACTGTCTGTCTTTGGCTCTTTTTGACTGACAGGAATTTTTTCCTCAGTGATCCCTTCAGCTTAAATCTTAACCTTTACCTTGAATGCCGCCTTCTTATATACCTTGCCAACAGCAGAACTCAAATGCAGTACATGAACCGATGTCTTTTGACTACGTTAATTGCGCTTACATGCCTCACAACAGCTAGTCTGTTTACCAGCCTCCTACAGCCCCAGCAAAGCATCCAAATCAAAAGTACATTATTTGGCATAATAAACACAGGTTTGGATTTATTAGTCTGCCAGCACTGCCAAGAACTCAGCAGCTCCAGAAACCAGTTTGCTTACATCCATGCCTAAATATTGTATTGACATTAACTTCAAGCAGCCAGTTTTTGAAGCTGCAACCAGCCTTGTTTGATGACCAACACAAGGCTTGAAGGTTGAAAGTGAGTATTTCTATCAGTCTACCTCCAAAGGTCCTGTCTACCTCCTCTACCAGTCTACCTCCAAAGGTGCTGTAAAAAGCAATACCCCATCCCTTTTATCACCTTGTTAACCCATGTTTCCTCCACAGCTTACCCACTGGGACCCTTGGAATAGACCAGGTTAGCACTGAGGTGGTTCCAGGTTAGGTCATGCCACCAAACCCATTCCCTACATGGGCCTTTTGGAGGTTTCAGCTCTTCTCCCATCTCTGAAGATGGCCAGATTGTTTGAGGGAGGTTTCTTTTTGCTCTGAATACTTCCTTTGGTGGCTGTGGTGGAAGAGAGAGACATCCGGTGTCCAAAGAAACTTCTATGGCTCTCAAAAGAAAAGCTTTTACAAGCTGTTCAGCAGAAAAATAAAGAAAGGAAGTGAGACTGCTCTTAAGTTTAACAGTGCTGTGTTGCCACGACTGGTGGTACTGCCAGCTAGTGATGCACTGCTCCATCCCTTCACATGCTCCAAGCACACACTTACAAAGCAATGACTGAGGAGCCAACTGGCTGCAGAAAAAGTGATCTGATGTGCAACTGAGAATTTATAAACCCCTTGAATCATTGAAACCGCTTTTTCTTTGAGCAGATTTAATTTTTAAGAACACGGGCAATAACATTCAGTGTGTTGTGGATTTTTTCCTTTGGTGAAGTTATTGAATGTGAGAAGGACACATAACACTCACTGAATCTTCATACTCATTTTACAGGTGCACATTAATCTCATTGACTCTCAATCTCTATCTCAGAACTGTTTATAATTGGAATGGTTTACAAACCTGAATGAGGCAAATTGAGGGCACCCAATGCTATAGTCATTCCAAAAATGGGTTTCTTCAAGGGAAGCTTTGCACAGGAACAGGTGAGATCAGCTCTGAATATTTTAATTTCCCACCTTGTTAATTCCAAGCAATAAATTTTTATCAGATACTCATGATGATAATGACTAATAATTCTGGGCTATTTACTTTAAGATGGTAAGGTTTATTTCTTCACTTTTATGATAAGTTTTATAAATACCAGCATTTACCTTCAATGATGCTAACTGGTATCTTTTCTAGACAGAAGGTTTGAAGCTCTCCTCTTACAAATGCCATGAAAATGTCTTTTTTGATAATCTGAAAGCATTTGTGAACTTATTCTATAGCCTTTCTTTACATTGTTTTAGTCTGATTTGCACAGTGGAGTATAAATTACAAGAAACCTTGCTTGCCACATACAACCTGTGTCACCGAAAGAACCAAGAAACGGGGAATAATCTGTTTTAAATCCATAACCATGCCCAAGCAGACTAGCCTTGGTGGGAGCCTCTATGCTGACAAGATAAATGGCTGCAGCAGCATCTTAAGGACTCATGTAACAGTTTAAGTCCAATTAACTGCACCTTTCTGTGGTGACTTATTGTCAAGATGCACAGAGATTAAATAATTTGAACTACAGTCTCAACAGCAGTTGTACAAGTGAAAATTCCAATGGGAAGAGCAGTGCCTGCTCTGAACTAGTCTGATGCCTTGCTTTGAAAGCTCAAGCAATATCACACTGTTCTTTCAGAGAAAGAATGAAAGCGTCAAGCATAGTCAAGAGAAAACATTTTTCATCTCTGAGGTCCCTGCAGAACCACCTCAGCTGTGGAAGCAGACAGATTCATTTCCCTTCCATTAATAAACTGATAGGTAAACTAAACACAGGGAAAAAAGAGGGTGAATTTTCAGAATCAAACTTTTTTTCCGTATGTTAAAATAACTGTTGTTTCCCTATAGTTAGGATTAGGGGTTTTCAGGATTGGGGTTTGGTTTTGCTATTCAAACTTACTGGTGCCTGCATCTTTGCTAACATATTTCATATTCAAATTAAAAAAACAAACAACAGTCTGGTAAATAAAGTAAATCTTTATTCCTGTGAAATTAGTCTCTAAGACAGAAACAAAACAAGTATATTTGATTAATCAGTTCCTACAGATGAGCTGAATCTTCACCCACAAAATATTTTTGTTTCTCTGTAGTGAGAATTAGGTTTTTTGTTTGTCTGCTACCAAAGTTACTAGAGCCAAAAGTCTTTCTGAGCTTCTATGATGAGTTCAGGCTGAGAACAAGACAAATACTCCCTTCCCTCCAGCTGCAGGGTCTCAAGCAAAAATGAAGTTCTTCCAAAATACAAGTACTGCTTTAAGAAATACCATTCTGTTGAGCAGATCACTGGCCGCACTAACTGAGTGGGAAACAAAAAGTTAACTGAGTGGAGCCCTTAAAATTTGTGAATACAAGTACTTAAGAAATGGATAGGCAATAAAAGGAAAAATTCGACAGAGCTGTCATGCTGCAGGTGAAGCCAGTTCAGAAGCATCTGATTTGGGAACAGGCACATGGAGTGGTTTTGGAGTATGGGGCCTTTCTTTACGCAAAGAGATAATGGGAGATGGGCAGCATGAGCCTAAGCATGGCTGATAATACACGTCAGCTATGATCCCAGAGGTGTCTGGAGGTGAGTGAACAGTTTAATCTCCTTTCTTCCCAGTTTAGCTTCCTTGCTAATCAGGGTGCTATTTGTTACTAATTGTGATTATGGATGTCCTCCAGCTAGGCCCTGGGCTAACCCTTCCAGTTAGAGATCAGCAAGAAGCCACTGAGCTTTCTCTCACTTGCAACGCCTGGTTCACATGATGTTTTCTCTAAAGACTGTAAACAGCTACTCCTTGGGCCCCATTACTCACAGTTACTTTTTTCTTTTCACTCATACTTTCCTTTAATAAATGAAGTGTGCATCATATTCTGTCTCACCTCATGCAGAAATACCAGCTTGTTTCTCTTGTCAGACTGACGGGGACCCAGACCCTGGACATTCACCTGCTGAAGATGTCATATATACGAGGTTCACTTCAAAGTGTTCTTGAAGAAAACAAATACCCCGTTTTGTTGGCCACAGTGTTTCCCCCCACCACTGTTTCACTGCCAGAGAATGGTGCTAATCCATGGCATTTGAAAAGAAAAAGATTTTAGAGGCACTGTGACAAAGCTGGGACTCAATTTGTACATGCTTTATTCCTCTCAGCCTAATCTCCAAATGCCTTCCATAAAAAGGAAATGCCTGACATCTCTTACAGCTGGTTAAACTGTCAGGTCAGTGTGATGTGATTTAAGGAATTAATTGCTTTAAAGCTCTCTTTCAAAGCACAGAAATGCCATATTTTACCTAGTTTTTGTATCTTTTCCAAAAGATCAATGCTACATGGGCTAGTCGTATTCCTGAAAAGTTTTGTGTACATCGCTGTAACCAACGGCTCTCGGGACCACACAGTTTGTTCTGCGGTACTGGTGGCAGCCTCTGCCTCACCCGCCCGGGTCCGGCGGCCCCTTTTCCCACCGCGGACGGGCTTGCGGTGGCCCATCCCATCTCTCCGCGCAGAAGGACAACGACCGCCGAAGGGCAGGTTTCCCCCCGACAGCTACAGCAGGGCCCTGCGGCGCGAAGGGAGCCGCCGCCCGCTCCCCTCCTCCTCCTCTTTCTCCCCGCCAGCCGCTTTTACCCCGCTAAGCCTGAGCCCAAATCGTCTCAGAGAGATGCTGAGCGGATTACGGGCCAGGAGTTGGCGAACTCTCTTCTCTGCGCAGACCGGCCCTGCCTGCCGGCAACCTCACCTCGCTGAGCGAGCGAGCCCGGCCGGGCCCCGGGGGAGTCCCGGCGGCAGCACCATGCCCCGGCCCGCGGGGTGCCGGCCGCCGGGCTGCTGCGGGGCTACTCGCCGGACGGGCCTCAAACTTGCGTGAGAGGGGCAGAGGGACCCCTCGTCGAACGCGGGACTGCACGGGGAAGAGCCGCTAGTCCCCACAGGGCAGCTGGCAGCGAGACCCCCCGGCCAGCTCCCCGTGGCCGGCGGGTGAGGGCAAGGGCGGCCCGGCGGGGCCGGAGGGGAGCCCCCGGCCCCGGGCCACCATGGTGCTGCTGTCCGGGGCCGGGGAGCAGCTGTCCGGGGAGCGCGTGTACCCCGCGCCGGCGCCGGACATGGCCAGCGCCGAGGAGAGCGACCCCGAGCAGGGTGCGGCGGGGGCAGCCGCCGAGGGGCTGGGCGAGGAGCAGGAGGAGGAGGAAGAGGATTGCGAAGAGTACGAGGACTTCTCCGAGCTTCCCGACACCTGCAGCATCGCCTCGGATGACTCCTTCTACCCGCCGCGGGGGCTGGAGGACGAGGAGGACCAGTGGTCCCTGGAGGAAGGGGGGCGCGACAGCCCCGAGGCTCTCACCCTCTTCCGAGCCTGCTGCACCAACAACACCATAGTGCTCAAGGCGCTCATCCGCCAAGGCCCCGAAGAGGAGGAGGTGCGGGAGACAGACCGTAACCGCCGGGTGAGCATCCCGTCCTGCTCCCCCAGCCCAGGGACGGGAAAGCGTCCACCTGTCCCGGCACCCTGAATCCTCTGGAGCAGGGCCGAGGGCAGGCGGGCGCGGGGTGGGGGGCGCCACTTTCATTTGAAGGGTGCTGGTCTGCGGTTCCGTAGAGGGGCAGGGGACAGGAGAAAGCCGTGCTAGATATGGCTTTCCGTCTGTGGCAAAGTAAGCGGCCAGTTTATGGGAAGAGAGGAAGGCTGAGATTCCAGTTTTCCCGCCTTCGGTTTTGAGATGGGTCTTGTTTTCCCGCAGGTTACTGGTGAGAGAGTGCGTTGCTAGCAGCAGTCGTGTTCAGCAGGGCTAAACCTTCCTCTTTACTTGGCAGCCCATCCCCTGCAGTACTTCATGTTCTCACTGCATGGCTCAGGGTATTCCTGTGCTAAAATAAGACTTTTTGGAGCTCTGGTATTTGTTTTGCTGCTGGTGAGCTGTTCTGGTGGTTTGTGTCAGTACAGGGTTTGTGGTTCGGTTTTTCCCTGTTACTTAGTTTTACTGCAAGGGCGGAAGTGTACTTCACTAAACCAGAGGGTGAAAACTTGGGAAAGGTTTCCTGGGTAATGTGCAACTGGAATGTTTGAGCAACAATATTGAAGATTATCAACAGCAACTCCTCTTGCTGCTGTTACTACTGTTTGTATTAAAACTAGGAAATCTTTACTTACGGTTTGCATAAACAATCTCCAAAAAATTTTCTGGGGTAGTCTGTGACAGAAATCTTTTGAAAGAAAGCTGTGTTATTTTAATTGGGCAAGTGACTTATACATTCTGGCAACATAAATGGTCTTCACATCAAAAATAACGCAGTGATTTGGGTTTGGTGCTGTTAGCAGAGGGGCTTTCATTGTGTCTTAGATGTATGTACTTTGGGGATTTTTCCCACAAATATCTTTACTTCCACCTCAAAGGATTTTTAATACAGATTTCTAGTGATCTGATTTACTGTAAATTTCTGCAAATGATACAAATACAAAACTTGGTATTAATACTTCTAAGGGGGCAGCATCCTATGGCTTGGGGGTGGGAATGAGCAACATAAGGTAGAAATGTTTTAAATCAACTTTTCTGTCTAAGCCAACATATGGTGTAGTTATACTCTCAGTAGGTAACATGTGGGATCCAAACATTTATTACAGGAGATTCTTAAGATACTGCAGGTACATCTGTCCTGTTTATGAGGTCAAGGCCTGAGCTGGAGCCCAAATCCAGCCCTGACATTGCGTGGACACTTGCCTCCACTGAGACATTGATTCAGTGTGTCTCAAGTGTGTGACGGTGGAGAGGTTTGGCCCCACTCTACACGTGGCATAGAAGACCAAGTGCTCCATGGCTGTCCTGTCCACAAGGCAGGCCTTCCCACCCAGCAGTGGTTCTGAGCCAGCTGTGAAGCTGTAGGCGCCCTCCGTCTCCAGGCTGGGGTCCTGCAGAGCTGATCAAGAGGTAAGAAAAAGTTTGGTGTCAACATCAGCACTCATCCCACAGTAGCTCCTTGGGCAGAGGTGATTGGATCAGGGTTAAGAAAACAGTGAATTTTCCTGGTCGGAAGCCCTTCACCATCCCACTTCCTAAAAAGCAGATTAGTCTTCTTTGTCTCTCCAGCTTCCCAGGAAAGAAACAAAGTTATAGTTTGAATACAGACTGAAAGTTCCTCTTATTTGTTCATACTGTTAAAAAAAAAAAAAAAAGAAAGAAAGAAAAAGCTTTTCTCTACTTAAGCAAATATTCCATTTGACCTGAAATTAAACTTGGACATCAGTTCTGGGTTTTTTGTGCTTTTTATGTGTCCTGGGTTCAGCAGTAGCCGTCATGTTTCTCCTTCTTGGTAGCTGGTGCAGTGCAGTGTTTTGACTTTCGGCCTGGGAACAGAACTGATAGCGATGTTTTGGTTTGGCCAAGGACTTTGTGAGCCTCATGCTCTGCCAGGGAGGAGGGGAAGCCAGGAGGAAGCAGAGACAGGACACCTGACCCAAACTGACCAAAGAGGTATTCCATACCACAGCACGTCATGCCCAGGAGGTTACTGGGAGTTAGCTGGAAGGGCTGGGAGACTGCAGGGTTAGAGGAGGTATCGGTCGGGCTTGGGGGGCAAGTTATCGGTCGGCTGGTGCTGAGGTGTTGTATTCTCTTCCCTTGTTATTTCCTTTATCATTATTATTATTGGTGGTAGCAGTAGTGATTTGTGTTATACCTTAGTTACTAAACTGTTCTTATCTCAACCCGTGGGAGTTGCATTCTTTTCAATTCTCCTCTCCGTCCCTCTGGGAGCAGGGGGAGGGAAAGAAGAGGGGGAGTGAGTGAACGAGTTACCTGACTGGGTTTAAACCACGACATTATGAAAGCAGAGTAAAAGAAGTTCTGTAATTCAGCAATGTCTATAAGCCTCATGAACAATGTGGGATACAGGAGTTCAGTTTCTCTCTCTGCCTCCCTCACAGATGTGCCCTGATTGCACCAGTACAGAGCAGGACAGTCTTTCTTTTCCAGACAGACATGAGTGGGATAGGAGAAACCTTTCCGCTGGGAAGCTGGAACTTCTGGTGTGACTGCAGTTCCGATGTCCCCACAGGGGACATCAAGGCAAATTCACCTTTTTCAGAGAACATTAATTGACAAAAGGGAATTTTTGCTCAGGTCTTTTGTCACCCTTCCTGTGGAATTTTTGTAGCTCTTGAATTTGCATGTTATATAAAGTCATTGGCCATTATCCATAAACAAAACTTAATTTTACTGCCAAAAAGTAACTGAATGAGTTACATACACCATTTGTGCTGACAAAATTTTACAGTTACTGAAACTTGTACTGTTGGCTTTCAGCACCTTCTTTCACAGAGATGTTTGTTCCCATGCTATCTTGCATGCATTTATTGGAAAGCCTTTTTTTGCTGACCTTTTGTTTCTTATAAGTTCTTTCTTCTCTGTGAGACAGGACAGCGAAGAAGAGTAACTTGTTTTTTGGAAAGTGGGATAGTAAAAGGACAGCTTCAAGTGAATATATTAACTGTTTTCACAATCCCCTGCTGCGTATAGAAAGTAGAGTTTCATTTCACAATTCAAAAATTAGGGCTTTTTTCAAAATAGACAAAGCCTTTAAGAGGTTGCAGTAGTAAGACAATACCATATTTTGATTCTGAAACTAAGGAAACTCAGCTCACAAAACGTAACATGAAGAAGAAACTCCCTAATGGTTAAGTTCTCTAAATCAATGGGCACAAACAGATGGAGTTTTGCAATTGTTTTTAAATTTTTACCTTGTCCCTAAAATGTGAGTGTATCAGCTTAAGATTCAGAAGGAGTTATTTCTAAAAACACAAAGATCCAGAGGTAACCTTACTTATTTTCCTCCATCCTTTTTATGAAAATACATCAGTTCTCTCTTCTGAGTCAATTTGCCAAGGCTGTATAGTGTTTTTTTCCTGGGGTTTCTGCAGAAGCAGATTTTCTCCATGCTTTGTTTGCAAGCTGCAGAACTTCCCGCCAGGCACAGGTTTTCATTAAATTCACCTTCCTGCAGTAAACCAGACTCCACAACATCCAATTTATTAGTCACCACATGTAGCCTGAAGACTGGTACCTTCCCTGTCTCGTTTCCATTACTGTTGAGACAACAACAGTTTAGATATCATTATCTGCATAGGATCCCCAAAGGGTTGATCCCTGCATCTTCTGTGGCACTGCTGTCTGTATATGGAGTCCCAAAAGACTGGCTTGGTCCTGCTGGTTTCCTTTCCTTGACAAATCTAACACTGAAATATTTGGAAAATAACTGTGACAGCGTATAATACAGTAATTGTAGATCATGCAGGGTGACCTCTCATTTATTAATGTTGATGTATTTACCTGCCTCATGCTAGCACTAAGGAGGGATTTGCAAATATATATGACAAAACAAAGTTGTGGCTGTGATGCAATCTGCTGACCTGACTGAGACCTGAATGTCATCTTCATAATGATGCTGCTTTTCACCATAGGGCCTGATTTTGTGTCCTTGCTAACCACGCTTCTAGAATTTCAGACATTTGCATCTCGTAAGTTTAACATCACTTAATATTAAAGTTTGCCTGGTGACCAGGATTGTATATACTCAGAAAGACAGAGTTACAAAATCTGATGTTACCTAACTGCAGAATGCAAGCAAATTTAGAAATTTGCCATGACAATAGAGAAGGCAATAAGGAATGGGGGAGAGACAGATTGAAAATAATCACTGCAGCTCATTCTCAGAAAGGCTTTATGTTAATCATCCATGTGGTACAGCCTGTATTAGTAGGTATTCTGTAACTCCGCACTTCAGAATTGGTTTATGTGAGAGAATATTCCTGCACATATATTTGCAAATGTAGATTTTTTTCAGCTTTTCAGTTTTATGTAACTGTTCAATGAGTCTTTTGCCCAGTTCCATGGATAACTAGGAACCAATCTGCAGTTAAACAGTAAGTGTATCATATAGCGGGATCATACATTTGTCATCTTTGGTTTTCTCCCTTAAAAGGTGTGAAGACAAAATGATCTATGTTCCTCAGCTTGTAGGCTCTTTCTTCTCCTCTTAGAAAATATTCCCAAATTCATATATGAGCACAGTTAATTTTTCTTGTAATGGTTTATACAGGATGCCATTGATCTGTACTTGTTTGGAGTAAGTTTTCCGTTGAGGAACAATAGCTCTGCAGCTCCATCACCAAGTGGGACTGGATTTGTTTGTTCCTTTCTCATTTTAGTGCTGAGGGAAGAAAACAGGGGCTTGAAGGCTGCTGTTCCCCTTGATCTAAATTTCTTTTGATTTCCCCTCTCATGATACTTAGTCATGGAGAAGGATAGCGATGCATCCAAAGCCTGGAAGTTGCTGTTACTGACTAAATAAAAATAAGGTAGTGGCGTCTCAGCTAGAAACCTTCTTGAAAAGCTTGTGAGAACGTAAGCTTGTGCCAAACATGGAAGTAAGCCCAGAGGAGTAGGAGCAGGAG